AATTAATCACATCAGAAACTTGCTTAGAAAATTAACAGATAAACTATTTATACTTCTTTGAAGAAAAAGAAAAAAACAGAATTGAAGGACCCAGGGATCAATTTATAAGAAAAGAAACTTTCTGGGAAGTTATTTATAAGATCATATAAACTTGAGGCTTTGAAAATGAAATTAATCCTAGTACAAGGACATGTACAAAATACAAACAGGGGGCCGATCTTTAGCGAGAATTTACGCTTGACAGAATTTTAGCTTCCTGCCACCATGGAAGGTGCAGTAGCTTCTTCCTCATCTTCTCTACCCCAATTCGAACCAAACATTGAAGCCATAAAACGAAGGCTACTGAAAAGAGGGGTGTACCCAACTCCCAAAATAGTCCATAATCTCCGCAAGAAAGAAATCCAAAAGCACAACCGCAAACTCAACAAAGATGTTGAGTTCCAAAGACAAGCCCTTTTTGTTTTAGAAGAAGAATCCCATTTCCAAGCTTTAAAACATGAATACAAAGAGTTTAATAAGGCAATAAGTGAGGAAAGAAGGTGTGAGAGTGGAGGGGGTTTGTTAGTGGGGAAGCCATGGGAGAGAATAGAGAGAGTGAAGTTGAAAGAGATTGGTAGTGGAAGTAGGGAGTTTAATGGAGGTAAGTTAAAGAGAGAGAATTTGAGACAGTTGAAGGAGGTTTTTGAGGGTAATTTGAAGTGGGTTTTTGATGATGATATTGATGTGGAAGACAGCGATTGGTTGAGAAGTGGTGGTGAAGAGAAATGGGACCCTGCGAAGCGGTGGCGTGGAGAAGGGGAGGCAATTCGGTTTCTTGTTGATAGGTTTGTGATTGACATTTTTTTTCTTCTTTTATGGATGATATGTGATTCTTTTTTCTTCTTTTCTTTTTGTAATTTTGTAGGTTAAGTTGCAAGGAGGTAAGTGTAAAGGATTGGAAGTTAGCCAAGATAATGAAGCAGTCAGGGTTGAGGTTTAGTGAAGGTCAGTTGCTGAAGATTGTGGAGGAACTTGGGAACAAAGGTAAATGGTCACAGGCAATGGCTGTTGTGGAATGGGTGTATAATGACAAGGAACGTAGAGATTGTAAGAGCAGGTAATGGTTTTGGTGTTTTGGTTTTTGTTTCAAGAATTAGGATTGTGTTGTTAACTTTGTGGTTGACCAGATATCTTATCCACGCGTTAACATTTCTTCCTTGTGAACTTTTGTGGAAAATTTGTCTATTGAGACATATATGGTTCTCGGGTTAAGAATAGATGGAGGAATTTTGAACTATAGGCATACTGGATTTTCCAAACTTGGGTCTCTGCTATTTGTTCATGATTCTAGAATTGACTTTGTTGCAGCTAGGGCATTTCATAAGTAGGAGAGAAGTGTAGTATAAAGGTAACCTTTACCTTTGGTGTGCGGGCTGGTGGCAGTGGACCTTATCTATAACGAGTTCTTGGGACAACAGACATGTGAATTGTGATCTAAAAATTAGATTTTAACGTAACCTGAAATATGGTTTTAGTATTTTTGTTTACTCAAGTGGGTTAACTGTGGCCTTTCTGTTACAATTCCTTAAAGTATACACCAGATTTGACAAGATGCAACTCGATATGCTCTTTCTGTTTGTAGTCATGCTTACTACGCTAGTGAGTTTTTTTAAAACTGGTCTTTGCATTGCTTGAAACACTTTAAAATTGTAATGTTTTTTTATCTTGCCAGCTACTCTAAAAACTATATGTTTTATCATATAAACAAATCAATGCTTTTTGTAGGTTTGTTTACACAAAACTCTTGTCAGTTCTTGGGAAGGAAAGGAGGCCCCAGGAAGCACTTAGCATTTTTAATCTGATGCGCGTAATGGTCCATGGATTTGTTACTTCATACATTAATTTTCTTCATCATCATACACACTCACCCATTATATTGGTTCTTACTCTTCATACATTCAGGAAGATCGCAGAATATATCCTGATATGGCTGCATATCACAGTATTGCTGTTACACTCGGCCAAACTGGTCTTCTGAAAGAGTTGGTGAAAGTTATTGAATGCATGAGGCAGAGACCTTCTAAACGAGTCAATAATATGCTTAACAAGAACTGGGACCCAGTCCTTGAACCAGATCTGGTTATATATAATGCTGTAAGAGAGCATCCCTATGCCTCTCCTTTCACATTTTTTAGATTCTTTAATCTGTTAAAGACTTGTTACTTGGCTTCTTCCAACTCATTTTGCAGATACTGAATGCCTGTGTTCCATCCCAGCAGTGGAAAGGTGTATCGTGGGTTTTTCAACAGTTGAGAAGATGTGGTCTTAAACCCAATGGAGCAACGTATGGATTAGCAATGGAGGTAATTGCTGGACTGTGATATCCATAGACATGCAACATAATAAGAATGGTTGGGTCATTATTGTGCTTCCTAGCCAAGTGACTAAGCATGCCTATAATTTTCTGATTGTTATGTGAAGAGTAGAATGGTGAAGAAAAGGGCTTTAATGGCTTTGATTCTTATAATGATTCACATTCAGCAATATAATGTTGATCCTATGACTTCTATACTTTAGTCGTCAGTTGGGTGTGGTCAAAACAAGTTTGCCATTCCAAAATAAAGTTAACATTAGCAATTTAGGCTTGATCAAGTATCTTTGAGTTTTCTTTTCTTCTTATTTCATGTAACATGGGAGCAATTATAATTTTCGTGTTTCAGTATAATATTTGAGTAATGGGCAGATAAATGCTGTTTTACCAGGAGAGAAATCCAGTTTATGTGATGCTTTATCAATCCATACACTTCTGTTAATTAGTTATAGAGTTATATTCCAATCTATTTGTGGCTGTTATTCGTCCATAGGGTAATTTAGATTGATGTTTTGACTGGTAATTGAAATTTTGTATGCAAGATGTTGTGTTCCTTGAATTATATTTATATGCAAGTCTTACAGGAGATGCTTCTTGTAAGGTAATGCTGCATTCTGGAAAGTACGAATCTGTCCATGAGTACTTCAGGAAAATGAAGAAAAGTGGGGAATCTCTTAAAGCCCTTACATACAAAGGTATTTAGTTTGCATAAAAATCTATATAGTTTCTCCCTAATTTGGGACATGGCTCGGGCATTTATGTATTGTGACTTTCCAGTTCTTGTGAGAGCGTTTTGGGAGGAAGGTAGAGTCAATGAAGCTGTGGAAGCAGTGAGGGACATGGAACAAAGAGGAGTAGTTGGAGCAGCCAGCGTATATTATGAGCTAGCTTGCTGCCTTTGCTACTATGGAAGGTGGCAAGATGCTATGCTAGAGGTCAGAATCTTCACTCTAGCAATTGATTAATTGCTCTGGACTTGTAGGTTGCTTGGTTATGGCATTGTTGAACTATCTGCCCTTTGGCTTCTTATATGTGGAGGCTTCTATGGCTGCATTTTATTTAGTATCTATAGGTCACAGAACATATCTTAATAAACATGCCTGCAGGTTGAGAAAATGAAAAGACTCCGTTATAAGAAGCCTTTGGAGGTATCTCTCACTGGAATGATAGCGTCTTCTATGGATGGTGGGCATATTGATAATTGCATATCTATCTTTGAACACATGAAAGCCCATTGTGTCCCAAACATTGGGACCATTAACACTATGCTGAAAGTTTATAGCCGAAGTGATTTGTTCTCTGAAGCTAAGGAGTTGTTTGAGGACATTAAGGGAGTTGATCATAGTGGCACTACCATTATACCAGATGGGTACACATACAGTTCAATGCTTGAGGTATCTGCTCGTGCACTCCAATGGGAATACTTTGAGTATGTTTACAAGGAGATGTCTTTCTCTGGGTATCAGTTAAATCAAATTAAACATGCGCCATTGCTTGTGGAAGCATCTAGATCTGGAAAGGTGGACTTGTCCTTTATAGTCGTTTTCTGTATTTAAATTTTTGAAGTTTTTGGCCATGCCAGTTCATTTTAACTTACAGATGAACTCAATGAGTAGATTATTAAATCTCTTGACTTCATGTTCTCTTAACGCAGAGTCATCTTCTGGAGCATGCATTTGATGAAATTTTGGAAGCTGGAGAAATCCCTCATCCACTGCTCTTCACTGAAATGGTATTTCAAGCCACAGCTCAAGAGAATTATGAGAGGGCTGTCACTCTTGTTAACACCATGGCTCATGCCTCATTTCAAATTACTGAAAGGCAGTGGACAGATCTTTTCGAGAAAAATGGAGAAAAAATCAGTCAGGATAGTTTAGAGAAGCTGTTGGATGCAGTTGGTCATTGTCGTATGGCATCGGAGGTCACAGTCTCTAATTTGTCAAGATCATTGCGGTCTCTATGCAGGCTTGGCTCATCAGGAGATTTACCCTGCACCAATTCTTGCATTGAAGACACTGATGATACTCACATCAATACTAACAGTGGGGAAATGGCAGGCAATAGGAACGCATATATGCTAAAAACTTCTTCAAGTATGGTAGATGGAAATCTCGAGCTGGATGAGGATACTTTTGTTAATAAAACTAGCATCAATCTGGATATGCCCCTTGTTAATAACAGTAGTACCAACAGAGAGGATGATGATCCGGAAGCAGCCTCTAGCACTGGAAACTCTGTTAATGGCCTGGATGTAGCCACAAACCTATTAGTGAAGAGGGATGTTTTTGCTGATGATGTGGCATCTGGTGCTTCTACTGATTGTCTAGACAAGAAGCTCTTGGATATTTTATTAGAAGAGCCTGCAAAAGATGCTGAAGAGGTAGAGCTTGAAATAGGAACAACGGAAGCTAATGATCTGTATAGATCTGAATTGCCCTCAGCTCATGCCATACTAGATGTTTGGAAGGAAAGCAGGAAAAAAAGATAGTGTATCCTTCCCCTTTCCTGGGCAGGGGCAACTGCCAATTTTGGTCTACATGATACAAAATTACAACAAGAATAGACGATGCTTGAGCAGCTTGCTTCACTAAGAAAGCTGGCTTTGGCTCGCTCTTTTCTTTTCTTTTGCTAAATGTCAATCACTAGCTCCTTGCACTTCTTTGCTTGCCATACTGTTGAATCCTGGTGGCAGAGAAAGGGTTTCACGGAAGTTAGGGCTTTGATGATTAGGGTTTAAAAAAATGCAATTTTTATTATCCAGGGGAGGGGGGGGGGGAATAAAGAAAGGTGACTTCACAAATGATCATTTTGCTGTTTAATCATTTAAGGGTTTAAAACGTATTGGCAAGACTAAATAAAGAAATTCAAGAAAAAGAATGAATAAAAGTAATTAAGAATTTCAATTTCCCTGAAGAATTAACAGAGAAACATTCCTGCCCGATTGCAGAACAGATCATTGCAGGCATGATCCTCATTCTGAAAACAAATGGCCACCTATAAAGAGCAACAAGTTTTTTTTCAGCAGTTATACCAGGGCACATTAAAAATTAAAAAACAACATCCATTCACTCTTCATTGGATTGATTAACGATCGAAATGACATTTAGATGTCTCATCTTGTTTAGCAATCCAGCTTCCTCATCCTGATTTTTTCACCAGTGTCTACTCTTTTACCACATTGTAAAGTTTGATTTCAAAAACCTATACTCTGCCCACGAAATGATCGCTCTAAAGGGGCAGCATGATTTCATGGAATAATTTTGCAGCTCCCGATTTACAAGTTAACCACATTTACAGTTGTATGGACAAAATGACGGCTGATACAGCGCGTCAACATGATGTCAAGTCCAATGCATGCTTCGTTCCCATCAACTCAGAAGTCCATCTGTAAAACATGTCATTTGCATAAGTTTTATAGAGATATCAAAAAGATTAGAGCAAGACTAAAATTATTAAGCTCTTTCCATCTCCCCCACCAGAAAACAAAGAAAAAAAAGGCAAGGAAGGAAAACAAATGAAGAAAGAAAGATTAAATAGCAAAAAAGCATATCATTCTTCTTAAAGCTAAGCTTTGAATGATTTTACTCTATAAGCATGAAAAAAAGAAAAAAGTTGGGTTCAACCACTAGAAGTTATACGTGAAATAAATTTGTCCACTGCACAGAGCGCAGTGCAACTCATCTAGTGGACGAGATTTTATCATGGTATAACAGCAGAGAGATGAGTTTACCAGGTATGACGTGCCCGGAGCTTAAATGCCTCCATCGCAGCTTTGGCAAAAACTTGTGCTGCTTCTGCCTCTGCCTCTGCTTTCTCAGCCTCCCTTGCAGCTGCTTCAGCATCTGCAATTGCAGATTCTGCCTCTGCGACTGCCTTTGCAGCAGATGCAGCAGCCTCCAAGGCAGTCATCCCCTGAATCTTTGATGGGTCTCTACCAACGTGGGCTTTAGTAAGGATTTTGTTCTTACTCTTCTCTAATTTTAAGGCATCCTTCCGTTTTCCTTCTGGGAGGGCATGGTTTTTTCTTCCTTCAGAAAATGTTGAACTAGGTGCAATCCTGTACTTGTGCTGAACCTGTAAATACATACATAAAAGGATGATTTTGATATAAGATGTTCCTTTAAATATTCACCAGCATTATAAGCTCAAAGCCTCAAACACGTATCTTCCCATCATAAATTCTTTTCACACTACTGTTCATGCTATTTTTTCTGTAAACATGACATTATTAATTTTCACTGTCCTGCATCACAGAATTCTAAAATGCCTTGAAACAAAAAACACAAGGAATTGATTTGACTCTGCAGACAGAGGACATTAATTCAAATCACTTCTAGATCTAATTAGTTTCCATGCATGCTCATGTACTACCGCAGAGGAATTATTACCATAATCAAATTTCCATTGGCAGTCAAATGCTTCAGTTTTCCTCCCAATATCTTTCTGAGATTCATGGGTGCCCAGTATTTCTCCTACAAATTAAAAGACATTACATCAAAATCAATTTGATCACCAATGAGTAATTTGTGTGCGCGCGCGCGTGCTTGTGTAGGGTGTACAACTATTGGACATACTTAGACTGACATAGTTATTGATAGTTGGATTCATATAAAAAATATGTGAAAAAAAATAACCCAGAAATCTGGAGAGACAAACATTAACAATGTCCAGCTACGTACCTGTATGTACAAAGCAATTGAAGCCCTGTCAGAACCCGTTGGCTCCTTCAAAGTCGTAATAGCCTCTAATATTAGATTATCCAACCTACAGCCACAAAAGTAGGTCACAACGAAGTTAGTTAATAATTGCACACAAAAAAAAAGGAAAGGCTGGTTACCGATACAGAGATTTTGTGGCCTTGAGAAACTAAATCTTTATAAGCAACTGCATGCAAATACAGCCTCGTGTTCTGAATTCCCAAAGCATTCATAGATCATAACTATAAGGTTTTGAGTTGTAATATACTGCCATTAATCATCATTTTCCATTTGCAATGTTATCAAAACATACCATTTCACCATTTACACTCTATGATTAGATTTATTTGTACACATGATTTTCCCATAACAGAAATTGAAACACTTCGAAAATTCACATATGTTTTTCCTTTCTCATAACAGAAATTGAAACACTTCGAAAATTCAGAGTGCGGAATCTGTTGAACACAATCAACTTAATGGCACAGGGACAAGTTTTTAGCAACCCAGGGAGGAATTAAATTGGTTGGAGGGAGAAAACAAATGGAAATGAAAAGGTGACACACAACAAGCAGGAGATAATTTTTTGTCAAGCCAAACAGGTTCATATACCAAAGCAGAATGTCTAAAGATCTACAGAAAGTAACATAGGCCACAATGCATATAAATTGGAAATGGCATCGAGAAGGACACATACGCAACAGATCAGTGAGCATAAGAAACTCAAATAAAGCCATGATGTACCATGTTCAAAGAGACTCATAGAGAAGGTTGCTATTCCTCAGGGTCAGCACACATTATTACAGTGCCATGGTGAGAAAAAGAGAAGAATTGAACTTGAAGATCTCAAAACAATAAACATCAATACAGCAAGGAAACATATTCTCATTCAAAATTATTTTGACTTCTAATATGACATTAACCCCCATCTAAGAAAGTATTTTGGTTGAAGATTGGGCTCCATAATGGTAGTTTTTTTACTAATAAAAAACGGATTGCGGATTTTCAGCCACCTAAACCAACACTTGCCTTCACAGGCTGAGAGCTGGCTAATTAACTAACCAGTCTTTCTATTAGAGCCCCAAGACAATACAATCCAGCTTGTATGCGTGATAACTGGAATTTTTTTTTCCTATTTAAGATCTGCCATCATGATGCTGTCAGACTTGTGGGAAGGATACACAACTTAAAATTATAATATGGAAACTGTTTTTTCAAATTTCTTTTTGAGAACAAAAATAATGGTGTCGGATAGTTCAATTATATCAAATTTCTTCATATCATCATAACATCACGAAGTCAGGAACTCATCATCTAGGTTCATGAACATTGATGTACTTGAATATTATGAATTTTGCTGTTTTTGTATAACAATATTAACCAGACAGCTAATCCCTAACATCTTGATAGCAGAAAAGCAGGTTGTTAATTTGTCATTTTTCCATGTTCCAACTTCATTTGCATACTATTATCAAAAGATACATCCAAGCTCAGCAAAACAGGAAGTGCAGATATCAGAAGTATATAACCTTGCAAGCAGGTCTTTTGGACCACCATTCCCTGGTGTCCCACTAGCAAATGCGAGAGGCTTAGCATCAACAACTTCTTCATTGGTCTGAACAACAGTGCTGAGAGCCTTTGCATTCTCCTCGCGCTTAGGAGTCAGTGGTCTCCTTTTAAGTGCGATCTTCGCCTTTTTCCTTGAACCCCATATTGCAGTCACATTTATATTTCTCCATTTATCCTGCCCAGAGAGAGTTGAACGCCATTCATCATCAAAGAACAAGAGGGCGTGAGGTTTTTATATAGAAAACAAGGGAGGGTGCATAGAAACATCCATACCTTGAGATCAACATTGGAACGCAAACGCAAGACGGCACTAAATTCAGGATCCACAAGGATTGTACGCCATTTGCCAGTGCCATGCTTAAGCACTCCAGCTTTAAGGGCTGCCTCTTCTTCGGCAGTCCACTTCTGCTTAGGATAAAACATGAAGTGCAGATATCATATCAGAAGTATATAACCTTGCAAGCAGGTCTTTTGGACCACCATTCCCTGGTGTCCCACTAGCAAATGCGAGAGGCTTAGCATCAACAACTTCTTCATTGGTCTGAACAACAGTGCTGAGAGCCTTTGCATTCTCCTCGCGCTTAGGAGTCAGTGGTCTCCTTTTAAGTGCGATCTTCGCCTTTTTCCTTGAACCCCATATTGCAGTCACATTTATATTTCTCCATTTATCCTGCCCAGAGAGAGTTGAACGCCATTCATCATCAAAGAACAAGAGGGCGTGAGGTTTTTATATAGAAAACAAGGGAGGGTGCATAGAAACATCCATACCTTGAGATCAACATTGGAACGCAAACGCAAGACGGCACTAAATTCAGGATCCACAAGGATTGTACGCCATTTTCCAGTGCCATGCTTAAGCACTCCAGCTTTAAGGGCTGCCTCTTCTTCGGCAGTCCACTTCTGCTTAGGAGCACCCATCCCATCAACAGATGATATAGTAGTAATAATAATTCTCACCCACCCCTTTTCCTTTCAAGCATAAATAAACTCAATGAGACCGAGAATCTGATCGTTACTTTGCTTTCATATTATTTTTTAATGATATTTAAGAATAAATAAATATGTTGTTTTACCTGATGATGAAAGGAAGCAAGGAAGAGCAGGAGGGGCAGGGGATGTACGAGTGAAAGTGAGAAATTCAGGAGGGTACCATTTCGATCTTTTCAACTCTTTTATCTTTTTTATGGATTCTGCTTTCACTCCCTGAAGAAGAAGCTGAAGGAGAGAGTGGAATATATATATATATATATAAATCTAGAGTTTATTTGTGTCCAAATAAACAGGGTAAGAAACACCAGTCGTCCATAGTATTTGGATATTTGGTCAAATCTGTCCCTTTTCTCTGAAACAAACCACTCGAGTATGATAGATTTTAACCTTTTATTAATCAATCACATATAATTTCTTTTACTAATTTGTAAATTAAGTAAAAATTGATGATGAGATTTGCATACCCCCTTTTAGAGTTTTTAGAAGCTCATTAACCTATTTTTCTTCATCTTTTTAGGTTTAAATCTTGGGATATTACTAAGAAAATTTATTAAATTTCTTATAAAATATAAGAAAATAGAGGAAAATCAATACCCTATTTTTTTAAGAAAGGTTTGTAAAAGCCAACTAAAAATGCATCAATATTAGTTAATTTGGTAAGACGCAAGGAATTTATTTTTTGTTTTATGCTAAAATATCCTTAAATTTAGAGAATTAGGTAAACTTTTTTTAATATATTTATGTCTAATCTTCAATTTATTTTTATAATTATAGTTAATTTTAATTTTTCCCTAAAAATGGAATAAATTTCCAATATATTATTTTTCAAATATTTATATTTAAGTTGATGAAAATACCCTTCAAAAACACAAACATGACCTAATTAAATATAAATACAAAATATATAAATTTTTTAATAAATATTGCTTAAGTTCAAGTTTTTGGTATTTTCATTCCTTTAAATGGAATCTATCAAAATTATAGATTGAATAATTATTTAAAATATAAAGATAAATTGATAACAATTAAACATATAAAAACATAGTAGAGCTAATTATCCTGAAATAAAAATTACACAAGGCTTAAGAGGATAGGAGGCGTTTTGTCAATCAGCTTGAACTACAAGGACTAGTTTGCAATTTTAGAAAAGCAAAAGTCCATAGTTACACTCGTTTAACAACGTTTTCACCATCGAACCTGGAAAAGGCAGCACAACTCTCTGATTTGATTGAAGATGTCGAGTTCTCTGCCAAAAATCTGGAAAAATGGCTGCGCCCTTCGAGCAGGCAGCATAGGCCCATTATGGAGGAGGCCGTTCTCCGCTTCTTCCGATGCATTGGTAGAGTACAAAGCTGGGGAGATCGGCATGGTCTCTGGCATCCCCCAAGACCACCTTCGCAGGAGAGTACGGCCCTCTTTCTCTTACAAGTCTGTAAATTATTTTTCCTGTTGGATTTTATGCCTTTTGGGTTCGGTGTGGCTGAATTTGTTTGATGCTTTAGGGTTTTCTACGTTTTTCGTTTTTACAATATATTAAGAAACCTGGGAATGACTCTGTGGGGCGATTGTAATTTCAAGAAACATATCTGCTGCAATCCATGGATTTATCAGTAATGGGGGGGTTGCTAACTGGATGTATCTTTGTAACGAGGAATTGCTCGGTATACCGGGAGTTGTACTCCTTTCTCTCAAATAAAGGTGAATAATCTTCATGGTGGATTGGATGTTTATGTGAGATTGTGGAGTACAAATCTTGGTACACCTAATAATTTCAGTATACTGGGAGTTGGACTCCTTTCTCTCATATGAAGGTGGGCCTCATGAATAATTTTTCGTGGTGGTTCGCATGTTTATGTGAGATGGGGGATTACAACACCTATTATACCTAATATTTTCTCAGTTGTAATATGAAATTGGTATGTGATTAACCAGTTGGTAACTTGATTTGCATGTATCAGCAGGAACTTAATTAAAGCCATCACTGCAAGGTCACTGTATTTAGCTGTGTTATATGCTCTCTCTTTCTTCCTTTCATTTTTACTTCTCTTATTACAACTTGATTTTTAGCCTTTGTCATGCATGGTAGGTTGTCATTTACTCACCTGCTAGAACTGCAACCCAGCAAGGATCTGGAAAAGTTGGAAGGTGGAAAATCAATTTTATGTCAACACTAAAGTATGTGATCCTATCTGCTGTTTTCCCTTTCTGAGAGTTTTTTTTTTTTTCATTTTTTGTTTGTCTACAATTTTTCACAAGAGCATGTGCTTTTTTACATGGATTTTTGTGGCTGAGTGTATCTGTTTGCAGATTGCAATCTAATTGACCTAGATTATTTTTGCTGATTAAGCCATCCCAAATTGACTAAGCCCGAATTCCAAACTAGTTGGAAAATTTGCATGGATCTGCTTTCTCCAATTAATTCGGTTAAGAGGAGCACACTGAGGCTTAATTTTCTGAGACATGAAGCCCAATTTTTTACTTGCTATGCTATCGCTAATGTTCAGTATTTTGAGAGAGGTTCCCTTACTGTCGGCAAACTTCATGAGTTAGAGAGTATTTTTCATATGCTGACATATCTTGAAAATTCATCAGATTCCCCTGAAATGTTCTCATCTTGTGTAGTTTTCAATGAAGTGAGGGATCATAGATTCTCTGGTCCCAAATAATTTATGAATGGTGATTGGAGCTTAAAATACATGATCAAAATTTATTTATATCTGACTACTTTTTCTGTAGGTGGGAGAATCCATTGATGGGGTGGACATCTACAGGGGATCCATATGCCCATGTGGGTGATTCTGCACTCGGTTTTGACAGTGAAGAAGCTGCAAAGGCATTTGCTGAGCGTCATGGTTGGGAGTATGTGGTGTGTATTTATCCTCTTATATCCCTGCTAAAAAGTAGCAACAAAGCTTGAAATGAACCGACCAACAATAAGACTGGAAAGCATCTTCTTATATGTGCAATTTTAAGTTTTCAAATGCTACATGAACAACTGTTATGGGTATTTAGGATATACAAGATGGATGGAGGACAAAGATGAGTTCTAATTGTTCCATTTTCATCATGTTATTGAGATTTTCTCTTATATAACATTCCTTGGGATGGGAGGGAATATGCTATACATCTCCTAAACACATAAAGTTATGTTCTTTTTGGTTTCTGGCTATTAATGTATTTCCGTTTTCCATTTTAACTTTGAAACTTTATTAAGTCTGTAGTATGGTGACAGCATTGGTATTTGTGTATGGTTTTGAACTCTTGCAATACTTAGATTAAGAATCTGGTGATAATAATCTGATGAACTCTCCCCCTTTTGGAAACTAACTTTAGTATCTTATGTGCTTTCTTGAACTTGTTTTTCAGGTTAAAAAGCGCCACACACCGCTATTGAAGGTTTGAACTTGTCCTTAATTCATTTTTTTCTGGCATTTCTATCAAGTTGCCTGTATTGTTGAGCTAGGTTGTTCCACCTGGGTAGATATTACTTTGAGGTTAAGACAATAGTCTTGGCTAGGATCATGAATAAGACATCATCTCAAGGTTGTGTGGCTTCCAATCTGCTGTGGCCTTAAGTTTGCATTCTTCTTCCTGAACCATGCAATGATCTTAGTGGAACTGCTAATTGCATACTGGTTTCAACCATCCTTAGCCCCTCTCTGGCTTAAGAAACTATTGTAGGATGCCAAAGTTCTCACCACTTCTGTCTGTGCATAACTGGGGAATGTTTATTATTTGTTAGGTGTTTAGCAGTAGGGTTGTGTGGTTGTGAAATGTGTGGATTTGGCAGTAACTAGTCCATTCACAGTTAGGTAGCATTCAGTTTCATAGGAATTTCAAGTTATTGCTAGATGTGTATCAACCAAGGTGATGGGAACAAGTCTTACCCTCAGTTTTGTGATCTGGAAAATAGGAATTCCATGCGCTGAAAGGATCTTTTGACCATTAGCTGATGTTTTAACTTTGTGTCAAGTGCCATCTGCAAGCCTTTCATTTGATGTGAACCACACATTTGTCATTCTGGTCACTCCAAACTTTTCTTCTCCTTTCAGGTTAAGGCATATGCAGACAACTTCAAATTCAAGGGGCACCCCAAGACTGATGACAAATAAATTTATTTTTCGTGTCTTTTTTCCTGGTTTATAAGCCTGAAGTTGTTCAAATTGGATGAACATTTTCTGACGATGGTAGTGAACTATGCTGAGAAAATCATATATCCCTACTGAACACTTATCTTGTAATAAACGGATGAGTTGAGGGTGCTGCTTCACATCCCTTTTTCTTTTTCCCGGTTTCTTTGTCAATGACAATTACAATTAGGCTCTGTTTGTTTGTAGGAAAGTTGTTTTCTTTTTTAGAGTGAATTCCAGAAAAAGTGAATTTCTGGAAAGTGAATTCCAGGAAAAATGAATTCCTGAAAAGTAAATTATTTTTAAATGTTTGGTAGTGTTATGAAAAATGAACTGAAAAATACTTTCGAGTGTTTGGTTATGTTATGAAAAATAAACTAGAAAATAATTATTAATATTTTATTTTTCTCAAGTTTATTAAAATAATAAGGAATAAATCTTACAAATTAAAAAGTTAAATTATAATAAAATTGAAAAAAAATAATTTTATAAATTATCTCAAATAAAATAAATAATAATCAAAATAATAAATATTAAATTTAAAAAAAATGAAGAAATTACAATAATAATAATTAACATTTAATAAAGTATTTCAAATAAAATAAATAATAATAAAAAATATGAGGATCAAATTTGATAAATAAAAAATTTCAATAAAAAAATAATAGGAGAAAAGCAAATAACAATTATAAAAATGAGAACCAAAGTTAATATAAAAATTAAATTTTAAGAAATTAAATTGGAAAATAAATATTCAAAACAAAATATATATAGCAATCAAAAGTTTAAGAATCAAATTTGATATAACTAACAAATAATGGCATTTCTAAATTTTTCACAACTTCTAGAAAGTGTTTTCCTCCCAAATTTTTCAGGAAAACACTTCCTTAAAAATTAAGCTAAATTTTCCTTTGACTGGAAAGTATTTTTCGTTTACCAACTTTCCTAGCAGCAAACAAATACAAGAAAGTTTGGAAAGTGATTTTTCAGAAACCACTTTCTGAAAAACAAACACAAGAAAGTTTGGAAAGTGTTTTTCCGAAAACCACTTTCCGAAAAACAAACACAGCTAAAAAGAAAAGCATTTTTCTGGAAATTAAGCCAAATTTTTTTTTGACTGAAAAATATTTTTCGTTGACTAAAAAGTGTTTTTCATTGACCAGAAAGTGTTTTTCATTGACCGGAAAGTGTTTTCTGTTGACTAGAAAGTGTTTTTTATTTACCGGAAAATATTTTCTGTTGATCAATTTTTCTAATGACAAACAAACACAAGAAAATTTAAAAAATAATTTCTCAAAAACTATTTTCCGATAGTTTCTCCGAGAACAAACATGGCTTAATAATAGTTTTTTCTCCGAGAACAAACATGGATTAATAATAGTTTGCATTCCTTGGATCTTTTGATAGTTTATGATAACATGCATGTATCTTCATTATGAAACTGGCGAAAATGATTTGTTCGAGTTGTGTTTGGGGATGAGATTATAAACTGCCCTCCCCTGCAATATCAAAAATGGATGTCGCACTTTTTGTTGCAATATCAAAAATTTGTTACATTTCTTGGAACATGTTAGAAAAATATCAAACCTGCCTTTAGGTGTATGTCAAGATGGTCAATTGGAGTTTCTGATGGACAAAAACGAACTTTACATAGATATATGAAGTACAAGCCTCGTGAGATTCTGATATACAATTTAAGGTTTTCCATGTGCCTTAAACTGTTACATACCATGCTCAGAACTACAGCGAATTAAGGGCAAAAAAAGAAAGATATAAGAAAAGATAAATTCGGAAGTGGCTTCACCGGTTCAACAGATAAATTCGGAAGTGGCTTCACCGGTTCATGATGAGGTCGGCCGTACCATGCCATGCTGCAGTAAAACCTTAACTGAATGCTCTATTAACACTAATTCCACTAGTACCAGGTAGTAATTTCTTCGTGTAATACTTGGAATTACGAGATAGATTGATCTTCTTCCTTCTTTCCTCTGGTATCAATTGAATGGAACACTCGGAGAAGCCGCGTCTGTTGAACCTGTAAAGCAAAATGCCAAAAACTAATTTCTATGAAAATGAGACTCTAGCCAAACCCTCAAGTAGATTGAATAGTAACTACTGCATCTTAAATTTGGACAGCCTTAGACAAACCATTTTGCCTTTTTCCATTTCCCTCAAAACAGTAGTCGTTATAATCCATAGCTGGTGTTTATAAACAAAAATATCTTTTTTAAGAGGAAAAATAGATTAAAACCAACAATTATGCAAAGTGACAGTTATCTTAAGGCTTCTTAGCTATGAAATTGGGTGACCTTTAACTAGGCAACAGCCAACAAGGCCTCAACAACTAGCTCCACTACAAGAATCTGAACTAGAATACATCCAGACTTGTCTCAAAATATTAACACAAAGTTGCTACTACAAGCTTCAAGTAATTTTTCCCCCTTTTTGTTAATACCAACTAGCACTCATGCAACACATTAGAGGGTGGAATGTAAAAAAATACCAATCTGCGGTACGGGTTGTAAGCAGGAAAAGTGTTTCCAAACCAAGGGAAGAGGCCCTCCTCTCAATGAAATCTGCAAATATTTGACCACAATGAATGATTTACCACTAGTACCAAAGGCCATATGGCTTGGTAAAAATAGAAGGGAAATGTTAATCACGTCTCCCCCACATTTTTTCTTTTAGATAAAAATAAGAACGCATGATGAGAAAAACATATATGAAAAAATTGGAGCAGGACAATTTCAAATTAAAAAAGAAATACAACAGCCAGAACTCAAAATATAAGAACATTCTAGTCTTGTTGGGTGTCAGTTTAGGAAGTATTCCACAAAAAACCTCAAAGCGGTACACCACAAGGATGCTAGGAACACTATCCTAGCACATAATAACTGTCTCGACAGACAAGTGGTTCTTAAGAACTTTAAAAGTCCAGTCCATTAAAACTTTAATGACTGCGGAGACGGAACAAAACCATAAACTGCAATCTTTCCTCTCAAAACCAACAAAGCATATCACAACAAACCCAATATCCTACATAGGATCACCAAAAATTCACTTCCCATAGAAAATAAGCTTGCTCTAATTATCACGCACAACTGAGCAATGAAGAAACAAATGGCTATGTAACTCTCTGCTTCCAGAAAAACCAACAGTTGAAAATTAAATCAAGTCTTCCAATCACGAAAAGTTAAATCTCAACAAAAGCATAACACAGGCCTTCCAATGGTAATTAGGATATATTTTATGGTAACCAATTTATATTATAAAATAATTTGAACACCTGTTTTGATGTTAAAAGCTTTGTTTGAGAATAATGCTTGTATTAAAAAAAATTGAGCACCCAATTTTGCTAATTGGATATATTTGAAATTAAAAGCTTTGTGTCAGAATAATACTTGTGCAATTAATTTGATTTTTTATCAAAGGCTAATACTAATTATTGAAAAAGAAAAGTCACACATACAATTGGAAAAGACCTTAATCAACTCTTGCATAAACACACATTATGCTATATTGAAAAAGAAAAGTCACACATATAATTGGAAAAGACCTTATTCAACTCTTGCATAAACACACATTATGCTAGATTTGTGAGTTTTTTAAATCTATGTGTCTTCTTGATATGTTTTGATATATTTGTAAGATACTATTCATATCTAAGTACATTTAGATGATTGAATCCATTTTCTGTAGGATCATACTATTCTATGATCCCATCATGTATCTCATTTAGGATTGTGATTTTGAAAACCTTGAGCAGAAGCAATAACATGCCAAGTAATTTATATCGTGATTTTGAAAACCTTGAGCAGAAGCAGTAACATACCAAGTAATTTATCCCCCTGCCCTTGTCCCCGGCATTCAGGAGAAACTGCAATGGCAGCAACCTCTCCACACTTCTCCTCAAAGAAAGGAAAAAGAGCAGCACAAGCAATGATTTGACCTTCTCTTTCCACAACAACATAGGCATACAATGCCTTAAGCAGCTATAAGCACAAAACAAGAGAAAACACTCAGGTTTTATTCAAAGTTCAACATAAGAACACCAAACAGCAGGATCAGCCCACTTTTCTTTTTATTGTGCATTAATAAGTGCACCATCATGGACAGAGTTATGGACGAAAATCTAAAGGAGCAAGAGCCAACCTCTTCATCAGTCCTCCGAACCAATGTGCCAGATTCTTCTAAAGGTTGTATAATTTGTCTGATTCCTGCAAGATCTGTCACTCTAGCCATCCTAGTTCCTTCATAAAGATCACTAAGAGCAAAGAAGAAAAACATTAGAGCACAAGTCGATGGATGGGGTGGCAGAAATGTTCAAATAAGCATTAGAGAGAATAAATTAGCATGTCATCATAACAATTTCAGCTACATGAGTTTGGTTTCAAATTCCTTGATACTAAATAAGAATTTCCAAAGAACATTCATTCCAATGTTTGAGACTTGATATCCATTAGCTTATACGAACCTATGTGCAACCAAACCTTAACCTGAAACCAGATATGAATCCTGACATGTGAGATTTATTTTGCGCAACTGTGCTACATAATGAATGTATTGCTCGTTCTGAATGACAAACTGACAGTCTCAGATTGAGCTTGTCTCATTTAATAAAAGTCTATAATCAATCCATTTGTGTTCATCAGCTTCGGTAATAATTTTGTTAATAAACACGCTACTATATTAGATACACAATGTATATATTAAATTAAGTCATTATTCCAGGATCAGATAGACAATAACACAATCTATCAGCACCTTGGTGATTGGATAAGCAGCAGTTCATCATCTTAATTGAGACAAAGAAATCAGATTGATAAAGGACAAGTAAATGAGGATGATGGAAGTCACAAGGGTTTCGGGCCCAAGGGTGAATATAAACCTTGAAATGTACAACTAAAGGCAATAGAATACTCAATATAGCTAAACGTAGTTGGAGATTCTCTCTTATCCCTATTAGATGTCTTTAGTGGCTATTCCAGTTTTATTGACATACAAATATGCTAAAATGCAGAAGGCTTCTTGAGTTTCAGCGATTTTCAAAAATGTTACCCAAACTTCAAATATAGACTTTGCTCTCAATTTATTTTCTTCCTTTTTCTGTTCTGTTTTTATTGGGACCCAACACCTCCAGTTGATTTTATTCCAAAACTGAAGTTGGGAGGATAAAATCAAGGGTTATTTTAAAAAATTTAAATTCAATGGTGTCTTTATGATTAGTTATTCAATTTCAACAAAATAAATAGTCTTAAGACTCAATCACAGAGCCCATGAAACTTGGCAGTTGGCACTACAAAGACACCACCAATGGAAGCAAAGTAACATTTTTGGTAATAGGGCATACTAGTAACAGCTCTTAATTACTAAGATGCAAATCAAAAAAATAAGTCAAAAGCTTCAATAAAGAGGGTAAAAATGAAACCTCGGATTTTTAAAATGTTGAGTGCATCAAGAATACATTTATCAGTTATGGGCATGCTTGGTGTAAAATAGTGTGAACAATAAACAAATCAGTACTAGGCATTGAATGTAACTGTTGAAGATAAAATTCATCAGAAAGTATTGCAAACACATACCTAGCCACCATTGTCCCCATTCCATCTCTTTTAAACAGTTCTAGCAGCAGAACGCCACTAATTGTGCCATCTAAAAGATGTACTCTTTGAACACCACCCTGCAAATCAAGTATAAATCATAACTGGCAGGGTATAGTTTTCAATATGAGCAATTGAAGTGTGAAGTAACCAACAACGACTACTATGTGAGCCATTTTTTGGGATCTGAGAAGCATTACTTAAAGAAATTTCAGACATCATACTGAGGTATTTAAGCATAATGATGGTATTGATAAAAATCTCGAGTATACTAGAAGATTTAAATTATTCCCACGTCTTATAATATGATAACATGTTATAAGCATGCAGGTTATGGCAATTGCTCATAACCAAGGTAAACAGAATTCTTGAAACTGCATAGCATCTGTAACACCAATATCATAACTAATGACACCATAATGGCCGAACTATATTGTGTGCATTTTGACAGAAAAGTTGCATTTCGAATTACATGTGTGATGTAATTTAACATTCATGTAACCAGGCCAAACAACAATTTGATAGTCTCTTCATTATATAGCCAAGTAGAGCAGTGCTTGATGCATATTGAGATCACAGATGTAGAGGGACACTAAACTTGAAAGGGATTCCCAATTGTCTCTATAGGATCTTATTCAAAATCATCATCTACCTCTGCGTTATATAGCAAAATGAAGTTTAAGATTCCCATGCCGACTGAGAAAAAGAAAGGAAAACATTATATGCTTTTTCATGAAATGGAGAAATGTTTCAAGAATTTTATATAACAGATGATACAATTGAAAACAGATGGTGTAATCTCTTTTTTGTGAGTTATTGTTAGATGTTGATACTTGAGTGGGTTTTTTACATACATGTATTGTTTTTATTCAGTCCATTTATATACGCCACACAAAAGGATCACAAGAGATCCACCCTTTTCTAAGACAACAGTATGCTACCCGAACCAAACTGCGGGCAACATCTACATGTCTATCCATAAATCAGCTCAAAGGCAATTTAGAGAGAAAAGGTAGGTTGCAGGGAGAGAATACTGTCCCATAAAATAGACTTGCAGAGAGCTAGCATTTTGGATCAATTTAAATTTCTCATTAAATAAAGAATTCAAATGTTGTGGAACAAAAAATGAAATGTGGACGGGCATCATGATTTATAAAAAAAATTAGAAAAAAAAATCATGAACTTACTTTGCAAACAAAAGCTGCAGCAGCCAATTCTGAAAGATAACCATTTAATCGACTTTGTCGCTCTTCACCTCCAATAGCAAAACCTTGTTCCCCAGACCATAGTCCATTTCCATTGTCAAACCCAACACCATTGTGAAAGGTTGCGCTGTGCCTTCCACTGAGAGCCTTTCCATTCAGCGATGACGCAAGAATTCCAATAGACTCATTGTGTTCAAGAAAAGTGAGATCTTCATCACCAACAGCTTTGACATAATGAGCAGCTATCTCACTTTGCTTAGCCCGCTTACGAATCAACATGTCTGCTTCTTCCAGAGTCAAGAAACGAATAAGATGTCCACTCTCATCCAAAATTGGACCATCTATGATGCAAATAAGCTTATCTGCCCCAATAGCCAAGGCACAAGCTGTAGCAACTAGTGAAAAAAAATGAAATGTGGACAGGCATCATGATTTATAAAAAAATTAGAAAAAAAATCATGAATTTACTTTGCAAACAAAAGCTGCAGCAGCCAATTCTGAAAGATAACCATTTAGTCGACTTTGTCGCTCTTCACCTCCAATAGCAAAACCTTGTTCCCCAGACCATAGTCCATTTCCATTGTCAAACCCAACACCATTGTGAAAGGTTGCGCTGTGCCTTCCACTGAGAGCCCTTCCATTCAGCGATGACGCAAGAATTCCAATAGACTCATTGTGTTCAAGAAAAGTGAGATCTTCATCACCAACAGCTTTGACATAATGAGCAGCTATCTCACTTTGCTTAGCCCGCTTACGAATCAACATGTCTGCTTCTTCCAGAGTCAAGAAACGAATAAGATGTCCACTCTCATCCAAAATTGGACCATCTATGATGCAAATAAGCTTATCTGCCCCAATAGCCAAGGCACAAGCTGTAGCAACTTCGTATGTGCTGGATTTATACGACCATAAAACATCATATCAGGCTTTCAGCAAAGACAATAGTAGTAGCGGAAAGGAAGCAAAAGAAATCCCTTTTTATATGTTTAATAGTTATATATCTGCACATCCAACTAAAACCATTATAATACTAACATTTTACTTCTTGTAACGGTAGGCTGAAGAGGAGCTGGGTTTCAGTAAAGAAAAAGAGCCACAGTGTACATATAATTTGGTGCTTATTTCCATTCAGTCACTCAACCATTCACAAGATAAGAAAGAGACAGATTTTCAGCATACTTGCAATTTAAGACTTCTCCAGAGCTGGAATAACCCAAGTTACTTAACACAACTATACAACCACCATCAAGCCTTTCGCGCATACGAGTAACATCTACTTTCTTTACTTCACCGGTTGCTCCAAAATCAACCCCGTCAACAACTCCTCTTCTCTGCAAGGAGACATTAACATAACAGACAATCACACCAATTTTGAGTACACAAATATCTTAAGGTACTGAGCATCTTCTATAGATAACTCAAACAGTACCTTGGCTGCAAGAAAATTACCACTAGCAACGCTGACACCCACATCATGCCAACGACTACTGTCACCATGTCGACGAATATTGCATATGGAAGGTCCAGGAGAAAGCTTGGCCTCTATCATCATACGAATCTTCCCTGCAGCCTCCATTGAGGCCTCCAAGGCTTCAGAATCAGTAATTCTGTATTGACCAACATGCTTAGGCTCATGCCCTACATTTAAACAAAAAAAGCATCTCGTTAGCTAACTGCTACCTAATCAAAATTACAAGGAATGAAGAAGCACAAACTGTGAAAAACATGAAAAGAGTTACCTCTCTCTTCCAAAAGGTTGTTAATTTGGACATGAGTTCCCGGGACTAACACAAACTTAATCCCCAGGTGATGTAAAAATGCAATATCCTGCAATCATGATACTTTCCTGTCATTAATTAAATAAAAGCAACCTTAAATCATCATTTTCCTTGACAAACACTTGAAAAAAAACAAGACACTCCATAAACACATTTAAAGTACTTGCCTTCAAAATGGAATCCAAGAAAGGACTAGAAACAGTTTCACCAGAAATAATTACAACAAAAGTACTACCCCTATGAGCCCACAAGTAAGGCCATGCCTCACGAAACCACTTGACGAATTGCTTGTCTTCTACCGAATTATAACCCTCTTCAACATCTCCACTCTCTGTCTCTCCAAACACCTTTCGCCGACTCGTTGAGTTCGTCCTGCCTCCCCCGTTATAATTATAATTCAGAAAAGAAGAAAACTGTCGAGTTTTCTTCTGGGGTTGAAGAAACTGAAGATTTTTGTCGAAGCCATGGAGAAGCTTTGTAGATAACAATTGTAAGTGCTGGTTTGGTGGAGAAATGCAGTGACTTGAACAAGGACTGAACATTTCCAATTTTCCTTCGTTAATGTTTGAAGATGGAAGCTTGAAAATGGTGAGTTAATAAGGGGACGAGGAAAATTATTTTTATTATTATGTCGAGTAAATTATCCCTCTAGTTTTGAAAACCAAATTATATAGTCCCTTTCTTTTAAATAACTTTACCAGTGCTAACCATTTTAATTTAATATTAATTTATTCTAAATAAATCCTATTTTCTCCTTGAAATTTTCATATTATTTACTTTTCTCATCTCTTGAACAAATTAATTTGGATTGGAAGAAAAAAAAATGAAAAGGATTAGGTCACATACAGATTTAACAATATAGAGACAAATTATTTATGTTAAAGAGTAGAGGGATTATTTAATAATTTTATAAACCTAGAGGGACTAATCTATAATTTACTCTTATTTGATGCCACTGCCCCCCGCCGCCGCTTCCTTTGGTTGACCCCAACTTCTTCCTTCAACGCTAACCACGTGCGGGGTGGTGCACGACTACTGATAGGAAGCCCAGCACAAATGCTGTTGGGTAAAAACTTGAAAAATTTTTATTTTTTAAGTTTTTTTATATTTTAAAATTATTTTAATGTACTACTTCAAAAATGTTTTTAAAAAAATTAAAAAATATTATTTTAATATATTTTTAAATAAAAAATAATTTAAAAATAATTATAATAATAATAACATTCTAATAATTTAATACTAAACAGGTAATATTTAAAAATATAATTTTAATTATTTTTAAATATATTTTTTATTTGAAGATGTGTTAAAATAATATTTTAAAAAAAATTAAAATTATTTTTTATATTAGTATATTAAAAATATTTAAAAATATCAAAAAATAAAAATATATATATAATAATTTTAAATTTTTTTAACAACACTTCTAAAACCTAGACCACAATAAATCAAAGTTAAGGTTCCGTTGTAGCATAGAGTGGTACCATCTGTCATTAAAAAATTTCTTCAAATTTTAATTAAAAAAACTATAATTTTTTAAAATTTTAAATGCATGAAACTACACAGTACAAAACACAAACGCTAATAAAATATCCAACATCTCCGTAACCTAATCAAAAGCTGTTGATTTGAGCTGGAAAGTAAGGTGGAGCAGATTACTAGCTACTGGCTTTTGGGAAAGCAAGATTATAACAGACCTATGAAAAGATTGAACAGTAGCTGGGGTGTTTAAAGGGATACCTTGAGGATGGGGTCCAGGAAAGGACCATCGATCACTTCCCCAGATAGTATCACAACAAATGTATTGCCTCTGTGCAGATAAATATACGGCTGAGCTTCCCTGAGAATCTCAACAAATTTCTTCTCAGATTCTGAGATGTTATAGTGAAGGGCTTCAGTGCCACTGATGCACTTGCAGTTGCAGCCTCTCGCAACTCCAAAGACGTTTCTCTTTAATTTCAAGCCATGGGACAGCATGTTCCCTTGATAATGACTGGAGAGGCTTGCTGCATAGTGACATGAGGAGCTAGTCTCTGTTCCCCATGATTTTGTACAAAAAGCCATGGCCGCAAGCTTGATTTGAAGGTGCCTATGGTTGCCCTTTATTGGTTGAAGGTCATGTGGAGAGAAGAGAGATCGATCGAGAGGTGGCCTCGATGATTGTTATATCAGCAAGGAGACGCGGCTAAAGGGCGCTGTGTTTAAAAGGAGAGGTGGAGAAAAGATGAGAATTGGACAAGACTTAATTACCAAGTGAGATGGGCAATCCGAAGCAGATCCACACTTGTCTTTCAAACTTGACTCGTGCTAACACATGTCTTTCAGTTCTTATTTGTTTATGATCTGAATGTGCTTAATTATCATCTCAATTTACCTTACAAAAATTTAAAAAAAATAAATAAACAGAAAGAGATTGCCTTGAATAATATCTCACGATAAAAAATAAAAAGAGATAAGAAAGACAGGAACCCTTTTTACTTTTTAGTTTTATACATATAAGGACAAAAACATAGAAATATAATAATCTGAGATAAGTTTTTGTCCTTCTAAAATACATTTTATTTTTTTTATTGTTTTTATCCTGGAACAGTAATTTCAAACGTGAACTTGATTACAGGTTGAGCTAGCAAGAGAAAAAGGTGAAAAGTTCTCTCCCATCGTATGAGGCATGAAACAGAGGACCTGCAACATGAACATAAACATAGATACATGTAAATTGGCTTGCATCTTGCCGTATTCTGGGGAATGTTCATCAGACAAGATGAACATGGACCCTTTAAAACAGCGAGCACCCCTGATTCTCTCTCCATTTGGTTTGGATTTTTTCCCACAAATCAAAAGGGCTGTGAAACTACAAGACGCAAATGTGAAGTTCAAGCACAACTCTGGGCCCTTCCATGTCTTTATAACTGTTGGAATACGTTGATACTGGTTTTTGTGCGTTCAAATTTATTTCTTCTATTTTTTTTAGTCATAATCCACATCTTGGTAATAGCGTATTTACAAAGAAAACTTAGTGTCGTGACTCCTTAAATAATAATGGGAGAATAAATCCATTGATCACTGGATTATGCTTCTACAAGCTAGAGCTTTCATGTCACGAAACAACACCTGCAATTGGGAGGATAGGATGACGATGAAGATACATAGATGTAAGAGTAGGATTATTCTATGGTTGGGAGTCCAAGGAATTATGCTCAATTATATATGATAAGATTCTCATGGCATCTAAGCATGTCCTTTTGAACATTCACTTGTTTTCTCTATCATTTTCTTTTTGAATCTTGTTTTTTATCAATAAAATCTATTTATTTGGTCATCAATTCAGTACTATAAAAATATAATTTAAAAAAAAATTCATTAAAACAATTTATAATAATTTATTTTTAAGTAAACAGTGATATGACATCCAGTGTTTACATCATATTTTTTAGATTATAGTTTATTTTTTATTTTTTATTTTTTATTTTTGTTTGCAAATATTTTTAATTGCTTAGTAATTACATTTATCCCTTTTTTAACAATAAATTATGCAGTTGCAAGAAAAATAAGAAAATAAGAGGGTTAATCCCTTTTATATAATAATAATAATAATAATAATAATAATAATAATAATAATAATAAATAGTTAAAACTTCAATTTATGTAAACTTTTTGTTAATCGTATTTAAACTAAAAGATTCATAAAACAAATACTTTCTTTTTCATCTCTAAAACCTACTATTATAACAGTCTAACTTTTTTTATTTATCATTGAATCTAGTTATATAATCATGATTGGGTATAAAAAACACAATAAAATCATCACAAGTAAGCACAAATGGAAAAAGAAAGCACCCATCATTACTAAATATGACATGAGGCTTAACATTTCCTGCAAGAAGTAAAATTTATATTAATCACATACAAAGACTTGAATAATAACTAATAGCTTTGAATTTATATCCTTATCACTTTGTACATGACATAGAATAAGAGATAAGATTCCTCAAACATGCAATCTCAAAGTTTTAATGGGTTATAAAGCTTTATAGACATATATGGTATTAGTGTAGATCACATCCTTTCGAATCTAGGAACATTGCGTGGCTCATTGTTTTATTATATTTGAAAAAAATAACTTAACTTTTTAAAATCTCTGTTAATTTAATAAACTTATACACCTCATCTCTAAATTAAGTATAAGTATTTATAAGGCCCGTTATCTAAAAACTTAACCTTGAATCAGTCAAATATATCTTTAATATTATTATTTAGCTCGATGCATTATCTTTAAGTCAACTTTGATATACTTGACTCCAATCATGAAAACAAAATATGAAAAGATATAAAATATTTTTGCACTTTAGCACTTTAAAAGATGGATAAAATAACACCATACAAAAAAAATATTTAGAAAAATAGCACAGATCAAAAAATCAAAGTGTCATTTAGGACTCTTTTAAAAGCTAAAAATAAGTTAAAAGAATTTACAATTAAGATAAAAAGAAGAGGAGAAAGGAGAGAGAAAGACAAGGGATGAAAGAAATAAATAGACCACATAAACACACTGTAACTCTGATAATGATATTATTATTATCGTTGGAAAGGTATCAACGCGACGAATTCAACGACATTAAAAAATGTCATAAATAGTAATTGGAGTAGGCCACATGAGCTGGTCAAATATGTTAGCCCGTATTTGTCTTTAAGCAGCTTGTGTGGCATATTTTGGTTATTGTTGGTGATCTTTTTTAGTGTCGTTGGATTCATTTTATCAAAATCTTTTTAGCGACCATAATTTTGTCATTACTGAAGTTTTGGTGTGCCTACAAGATTTTTTTATTTTTTTACTTTATTATCTCTCATCTCATTTCACAAATTACAAGGAGAAGAGAGAAAATAAAGAAACTCTAGAGAAACACTGAAACTCTAATAATATCATTACTAGTATCGTTGAAAAGATCTCAATGAGATGAATCCAACAATATCATGGAAAGTCAGAAATGGTGACCGAAATGTGACACGCAAGCTATCCAAAGACAAATGAGCCCCAATATATTTGGATGGCTCTAATCACCATTCATATCCTTTCTAAGTGTTATTAAATTCATCTCATTGATATTTTTCCATCAATAGCAGTGATGTCGTCTATTTTTCTTTTCTTATTTCTTTTTTTTTTATTTTAACTTGTCTGTCTATTTGTTATTTTAATCCCCTGAATCTGTACTAGCTATTGATCCTGCACTTGTCCCTGCCACTACTCTTGTCAATCCTTTTCATCGTTCCACTCGGGTAAGAGAAACTCCTCATACTCTTGCAGATTTTCATTGTTATTCTGCTATTGCTACTCTTCATGAGCCTCGATCTTATCGAGAGGCAAGTACTGACCCTCTTTGACAGTAAGCTATGAGTGAGGAACTTCAAGCTTTGGAGAAAACTCATACTTGGAACTTAGTTAATCTTCCTCCTAACAAGACACCTGTTGGCTGCAAATGGGTTTACAAAATTAAAACTCGTTTTGATGGAACTATTGAGCGTTATAAAGCTCATTTGGTTGCCAAAGGATACACTCAAGAGTATGGTATAGACTACGAAGAAACTTCTGCTCCTGTAGCTTGGTTAACATTTGTCCGTAGTCTATTAGCTATTTCTACAACTTGAAAGTGGAAGCTACTTCAGATGGATGTTAAAAATGCCTTCCTTCATGGCGATTTAACAGAAGAAGTTTATATGCTTCCTTCTCCTGGTTATCATGCTCTTCATAAAGTTTGTAAACTTCATAAAGCCTTGTATGGATTAAAAGAAGCCCTTAGGGCTTGGTTTGCCAAATTCAGTTCCACTCTTGCTTAGTTTGGCTTTCTTTCCAGTTCTCATGATTCTACATTGTTCATTCGATAAACTAATCGTGGTGTTGTTCTTCTATTAATATATATTGATGATATGATAATAACAAGAAATTATGCTTCTGGTATTTTCGAAGTTCAACACCATCTTAGTCAGCATTTTGAGATGAAAGATCTTGGTCATCTTAGCTATTTTCTGGATCTTGAAGTTTCTCAATCTTCTGAAGGCTATTACTTGTCACAAGCCAAGTATTCATCTGATTTACTTTCTCATGCTAGTATCACTGACAACAAAACAGAGTCCACATCCATGGAAGTCAATTGCAAACTTACACCTCTAGATGGCACTCCTCTTGTTGATCCTACTTTGTATCGACAACTTGTTAGGAGTCTTGTTTATCTCACTACTACCCGACCTGACATCTCATATGTTGTTCATTTAATGAGTCAGTTCATGTCTGCCCCTCGCTCCACTCATTTTTCTGCAGTGCTTCGGATACTTTGTTATCTTAAAGGCACTCTCTTTTATGGTTTACACTTCTCTGCCAACTCCTCATTGGTGTTATCTGGCTACTCTGATGCTGATTAGGGTAGAGATCCAACTGATCGTCGGTCTACAACTGGATATTGTTTCTTCCTCGGTGATTTTCTTATCTCTTGGCGTAGCAAAAAGGCAAACTGTTGTTGCTCGCTCTAGTGTTGAATTTGAATATCATGCTATTGTAGATGCTTTCTCTGAATTAATTTGGTTACGGTGGCTATTAACCGACAAGGGTGTTCTACATTCTTCTGTCAAAATGCTTTATTGTGATAATAGAAGTGCTATACAGATTTCTCATAATGATGTCTTTCATGAGAGTACAAAACACATCGAGATTGATTGTCATTTTGTACGACATCATGTTTCTCATGGCACCATACGATTGGTTTATGTCTCCTCTGAATAATAAGCAGCTAATATCTTCATCAAAACACTTCTTCCAGGTCGTTTCTAGGATCTCTTACACAAACTAAAGATGGCATCTACTATACCACCTTGAGTTTGAGGGAGGGTGTTAGCGTGATTACTGGACATCTACGTAGGATTTCCTTGATTATAGGAGATTTGCCTTGCACAATATTAGCAACTATATCAAACGTATTTGTGTCATATTTCATTACGTATCTGTCATATTTCATTTCTAAACTAACTCATTCTTATGTATATATATAGTTATTGTATTTTAGTACAGTAATTCATTCAAATAAGATATACACAATTCTTTGCAACCCTTCTTTGTTATTGTTCTTTAGTCTCTGTTATCAGTAAGAGTGGGATTATTCTATGGTTGGGAGTCCGAGGAATTATGCTCAATTATATGATAAGATTCTCATAGCATCTAAGCATGTCCTTTTAAACATTCACTCATTTTCTCTATCGTTTTCTTTTTGAATCTTGTCTTTTGTCAATAAAATCTATTTACTTGGTCATCAATTCAGTACTATAAGAATATAATTTAAAAAAAATCCATTAAAACAATTTATAGTAATTTATTTCTAAGTAAACAGTGGTATGACATCCAGTGTTTTCATCACATTTTTTAGATTATAGTTTATTTTTTATTTTTGTTTGCAAATATTCTTAATTGCTTAGTAATTATATTTATCCCTTTTTTTAACAATAAATTATGCAGTTGCAAGAGAAATAAGAAAATAAAAGGGTTAATCCCTCTTATATAATAATAATAATGATAATGATAATGATAATGATAATAATAATGATAATAAAAAATAGTTAAAACTTCAATTTATGTAAACCTTTTATTAATCCTAAATTAGTATTTAAACTAAAAGATTCATAAAAAAAAATACTCTCTTTTTCATCATTATAGCAGACTAACTTTTTTTATTCATCATTAAATCTAGTTATATAATCATGATTGGTATAAAAGAACACAACAAAATCACCACAAGTAAGCACAAATGGAAAAAGAAAGCACACATCATCCCTAGATATGACATAAGGCTTAACATGTCTTGCAAAAAGTAAAATTTATATTAATCACATACAAAGACTTGAATAACAACTAATAGCTTTGAATTTATATCCTTATCACTTTGTACATGACATAGAATAAGAGATAAGATTCCCCAGACATGCAATCTCAAAGTTTTAATGAGTTATAAAGCTTTATAGACATATATGGCATTAGTGTAGATCACATCCTTTCAAACCTAGAAACATTATGTGGATATGCAATCTCAAAGTTTTAATGGGTTATAAAGCTTTATAGACATATATGGCCCTGCTATTCTATTATATTTTAAAAAAATGACTTAACTCTTTTAAATCTCTGTTAATCTAATAAACTCATACACCACATCTCTAAATTAAGTTTAAGTATTTATAAGGCCTGTTATCTAAAAACTTATCCTTGAATCAGTCAAACATATCTTTAATGCCATTATTTAGCTTGATGCATTATCTTTAAGTCAACTCTAATATACTTGACTCCAATCATGAAAACAAAATATGAAAAGACATAAAATATTTTTGCACTTTAGCACTTTAAAAAATGGATAAAATAACACGATACAAAAAAAATATTTAGAAAAATAGCTTAGATTAAAAAATCAAAGTGTCATTTAGAACTCTTTTAAGAGCTAAAAATAGGTTAACACAATTTACGATTAAGATAAAAAAAAAAAAAGAGGAGAAAAGAGAGAAAGACAAGGGATGAAAGAAATAAATGGACCACATAAACATATCGTAACTCTGATAATGATATTATTATTATCGTTGGAAAGGTATCAATGAGACGAATTCAATGACATTAAAAAATGTCATAAATAGTAACCGGAGTAGGCCACATGAGCCGATCAAATATGCTAGGGCTTATTTGTCTTTGAATAGCTTGTGTGGCATATTTTGGTCATTGTTGGTGATCTTTTTTAGTGTCATTGAATTTATTTTGTTGAAATATTTTTAGCGACCCTGATTTTGTCATTACTGAAGTTTTGATGTGTCTACGAGATTATTTTTTTTATTTTATTATATCCCGTCTCTTTTCACAAATTATAAGGAGAAGAGATAAAATAAAGAAACTCTAGAGGAACAACTCTAATAATGTCATTACCAGTATCGTTGAAAAGATCCCAACGAGATGAATCCAACAACATCAAAGAAAGTCACAAATGGTGACTGAAATGTGACACGCAAACTATCCAAGAACAAATGAGCCCCGATATATTTGGATGGCTCGGATAGATCACTCTGATCACTATTCATAACCTTTCTAAATGTTATTAAATTTATCTTATTGATATTTTTTCAATGGTGATAATGATATCGTCATCAAAGTTTTAATATATCTTCACAGTTTTTTTTATTTTTTATTTTCTTATTTTTTTATTTCTTTTTTTTTATTTTAGCTTGTCTATCTATTTTTAATATTTATTAAAATCATATATAACACTAAACTAAATTATTTTCTAAATTATTTTTTATATAATATGATTTATTTTTTTTATATATATATATATTCATCATTCAGCTATTGTCATCAATCAACAATACATACCCTTGAAACTCAAAGTAGGCAGCTTTTACAAAGGCTCTTAATCATTCTAGGCTTGAATCTTTTGAAAATCACATTGACCATTCTACCCTGACATAGACACACACAAGCAAATTGAAGATTATATAAACGAAACTACATCATCTTTAACTTATGACCCAATTCGAATCTTCTTCCATCTTTAATCCTTGTAAACGCCCGCAAGGTAGCTTCAAAAGACTTCATTTTTTTTCTGATTTGTTTTACAGAAACTCATTCTACCCGTTTCCTGTTTTCTCAACCTAGTTCATCCACCTATTTAAAAAAGAACGTATTAATCTTTGTAAAAAAAAAAAAGGCATCCCGTTAGCTAACTGCTACCTAATCAAAATTACAAGGAATGAAGAAGCACAAACTGTGAAAAACATGAAAAGAGTTACCTCTCTCTTCCAAAAGGTTGTTAATTTGGACATGAGTTCCCGGGACTAACACAAACTTAATCCCCAGGTGATGTAAAAATGCAATATCCTGCAATCATGATACTTTCCTGTCATTAATTAAATAAAAGCAACCTTAAATCATCATTTTCCTTGACAAACACTTGAAAAAAAACAAGACACTCCATAAACATATTTAAAGTACTTGCCTTCAAAATGGAATCCAAGAAAGGACTAGAAACAGTTTCACCAGAAATAATTACAACAAAAGTACTACCCCTATGAGCCCACAAGTAAGGCCATGCCTCACGAAACCACTTGACGAATTGCTTGTCTTCTACCGAATTATAACCCTCTTCAACATCTCCACTCTCTGTCTCTCCAAACACCTTTCGCCGACTCGTTGAGTTCGTCCTGCCTCCCCCGTTATAATTATAATTCAGAAAAGAAGAAAACTGTCGAGTTTTCTTCTGGGGTTGAAGAAACTGAAGATTTTTGTCGAAGCCATGGAGAAGCTTTGTAGATAACAATTGTAAGTGTTGGTTTGGTAGAGAAATGCAGTGACCTGAACAAGGACTGAACATTTCCAATTTTCCTTCGTTGATGTTTGAAGATGCAAGCTTGAAAATGGTGGGTTAATAAGGGGACGATGAAAATTATTTTTATTATTATGTCGAGTAAATTATCCCTCTAGTTTTGAAAACCAAATTATATAGTCCCTTTCTTTTAAATAACTTTACCAGTGCTAACCATTTTAATTTAATATTAATTTATTCTAAATAAATCCTATTTTATCCTTGAAATTTTCATATTATTTACTTTTCTCATCTCTTGAGCAAAGTAATTTGGATTGGAAAAATAAAAAAACGAAAAGGATTAGGTCACATACAGATTTAAAAATATAGAGACTAATTATTTATGTTTAAGAGTAGAGGGATTATTTAATAATTTTATAAACCTAGAGGGACTAATCTACAATTTACTCTTATTTGATGCCACTGCCCCCCGCCGCCGCTTCCTTTGGTTGACCCCAACTTCTTCCTTCAACGCTAACCACGTGCGGGGTGGTGCACGACTACTAAGGCAGTGTTTTAATGGGCTATAAAGCTTTTATAGACATATATAGTATTAGTGTAGATCACATCCTTTCAAACCTGGGAACATTATGTGGCTCATTGTTCTATTGTACTTGAATGGCTTAACTCTTTAGAATCCTGTTAACCCAATAAGACCATACACCTCATCTTTAAATTGGGTTTGGTGTCTATAGATCCAGCTGTATAGCACCATCGAATGGAAAGTTTATTATTATCCTTGAAAAGCTTAACCCTCGACCGGTCAAATATATTTTTAATGTCATTATTTAGCTCGATGCATTATCTTTGAGTCAACCCTAGTATATTTGGTATACTTGACTCCAATCATGAAAAGATATAAAATATTTTTGCATTTTAGCACTTTAAAAATGGATAAAATAACACCAAAAAAAAATATTTAAAAAAACAGTATAGTTCAAAGAATCACGTTGTCATCTACGACTCTTTTAGAAGCTAAAAATAGGTTAACACAATTTACAATTAAGATAAAAAAAAAAAAAAGAGAGAGAAAGAAGAGAAAAAAACAAGGAAAGAAAGAAATATCATTGGAAAGATATCAACGATATGAATCCAACGATACTAAGAAAGGTTATAAACAGTAACCAGAGTAAACCACATGAGCTAGTCAAATGTGTTAGGGCTTATGTCTTCGGACAACTTGTGTAGCATATTTTAGTCACTGTTGATGACCTTTTTTATTGTCGTTGGATTTGTCTCGTCGAGATCTTTTGAGCAGCTCTAATTTTGTCATTATCTCTCATCTCTTTTCACAAATTACAAGGAGATGAGAGAAAACAAATAAATAAATAAAAAACTCTAGAGAAACACTAAAACTCTGATAATATCATTACTGGTATTGTTGAAAAGATCTCAACGAGATGAATTCAATAACATTAAGGAAAGTCATAAATGGTGACCAAAATGTGACACATGAGTTATCCAAAGACAAATGAGCCCTGATATATTTGGATGGCTCGAGTAGACCACTCTAATCACCATTCATAACCTTCTAAGTGTTATTAAACCATTCTGATCACCATTCATAACCTTTCTAAGTGTTATTAAATTCATCTCATTGATATTTTTTTAACAGTAATGATGATGTCGTCATCGGAGTTTTGATATATCTTTAGAATTTTTTTTTTTTGTTTTTTTTTCTTATTTTTCCTCCCTTTTTTAATTTTAACTTATGTGTTTATTTTTAATATTTGTTAAAGTCATAGAATATACTTAAGACTTGCAAGTTGTAAATGATTCTCTAAACTAAATTATTTTTTAAATTATTTTTTATATAATATGATTTATTTTTTTAATGCTAAAAACCAAAAAAAAAAATATCTATTCATCATTCAGCTATTGTCATCAATCAACAATACATTAACAAAGGCTCTTAATCATTCTAGGCTTGAATCTTTTGAAAATCACATTGACCATTCTACCCTGACATAGACACCCTCAAGCAAATTGAAGATTATATAAACTAAACTACCTCATCTTTAACTTATAACCCATTTCGAATCTTCTTCTTCCATCTTTAATCCTTGTAAACGCCGACAACATAGCTTCAAAAGACTTCATTTTTTTTTTTTCTGATTTGTTTCACAGAAACTCATGCTACCCGTTTCCTGTTTTCTCAACCTTTTAGTTCATCCACATATTTAAAAAAGAACGTATTAATCTTTGTAGGGTTTTAGTAAAAGCCTTATCATCTTTAAAACATGGCGGTCATAAATTTCAAATGGAAACGAACTCACAGGATGTTCACCCATGTGCTCAGGGAGGGGAATACTTTCGATAATTCTAGCTAGTCGAAATCAATAACATGATTTCTGATTTCTTTCTGGACGTAATCATCCAAATACCATGCGCTCAGGGAGGGTAATAGTTATGATAATTCGAAATTAATTAATACATACGATGAAGACGGCCCTTCTTCTGATAGATCATCGAATAACAAGTGTCTTCAACAGAAGATCACAAATTACAACGTTATAGCTAGTTACTTGACGTATAATCATCCAAATACATGTCATAATATATAATAGCGAGCTTCCAAGCGAACTTGAAACTATAATTGATACACAATGTTATGACCTAAACCAGAAGAATCAACGAACAGATTATCACAACACACTCCTGAGTCCTGATCAGAAGCAAGCATCCAAAAGGCAGCAGCAACAGAGCGCTGCCAAGCTGCACATGCAACCAACAGATTAAACAAAGAATTAAACTAGTAATCTTCTGTTCCAAGAATCTAGACTAGTAAACTGTCCAGTATATATAAATCAATATTAATTAAACTCAATTGCAGGTACATCATGATCAGCCAAAGATAACACATACATACATCTTTCCACTAACCAGAAAAGATGAATGACTGGACTGGTCTCTCTAGCATTTCTAAACACCTGATCAATTACAAGTCACCGGATTCTTTAATAGAGAAGAAAGAGAGAGATACATACCATCCTTCAAGGAGACCAGTTTGCTTCTTAGGAGGAGGAGCAGCACCATACTGTGGAGCATACCCTTGAGGAGGGTAACCTTGTGGGGGGTACCCCTGAACAGGGTGTCCAGGTGGTGGATAAGCATCCTTTGGATATCCTACAAAAATAAAAATCATAAAAAACCCATCTCCAAGACTCCTTAATTGAACCAAGAAAAGCCACACGACATGCATGAGCATGATACATACCTTGTGGTGGAGGAGCACCTACTGGTGTCTGCTGCTGATTGTAATAACTCATTTTTTTGTCTCTTCTTTGAAAAAGAAGTTGGTTTTGATAGAAAACAGCGATTAAATCCAAGAGAAGGGAAGGGTTTTCTAAAAGAAAGATCAGCAAAGCAGGTTTGCAGAAGTGAGAAGCGCAGAGGAAATTTCTCTCTTTCC